CTTGACTTCAGCAAGGCTTTGGACACTGTCTGCCATCACATCCTCATAAGCAAGCTCAGGAAGTGTGAGTTGGATGGGTGGATGGTGAGGTGGCTTGAGAACTGGCTGAATGGCAGAGCTCCGAGGCTTATCATCAGCAGCGCAAAGTCTAGTTGGAGGCCTGTGGCTAGCGGTGTCCCCCAGGGGTCAGTCCTGGGTCCAGCCTTGTTCAACGTATTCCTCGAGGATCTGGATGAAGGGACAGAGTGCACTCTCAGCAAGTTTGCTGATGATACAAAACCGGGAGGAGTGGCTGACACACCACAAGGCTGTGCTGCCATTCGGAGGGACCTGGACAGGCTGGAGAGCTGGGCGGAGAGGAACCTCACGAAGTTCAAGAAAGGCAAGGGCAGGGTCCTGCCCCTGGGGAGGAATAAGCCCTTGCAGCAGTACAGGCTGGGGGTTGACCCGCTGGCAAGCAGCTCTGCAGAGAAGGACCTGGGAGTGCTGGTGGACAGCAAGTTGACCATGAGGCAGCAATGTGCCCTTGTGGCCAAGAAGCAATGTGCCCTTGTGGTCTCCTGGGTTGCATGAGGCAGAGTGTTGCCAGCAGGTGGAGGGAGGTGATCCTGCCCCTCTCCTCAGCCCTGGGGAGGCCTCACCTGGAGTCCTGTGTCCAGTTCTGGGCTCCCCAGGAGAAGAGAGACATGGCACTACTGGGGAGAGTCCAGTGGAGGGCTACCAAGATGATTAAGAGACTGGAGCATCACTCCTATGAGGAGAGGCTGAGAGAGCTGGGCCTGTTCAGCCTGGAGAAGAGAAAGCTCAGGGGAGAGCTCATCAATATGTACAAATATCTGAAGGGGGGGTGTCGAGAGGATGGGGCCAGACTTTCCTCAGTGGTGCCCAGCGATAGGATGAGAGGCAACGGGCACAAATGGAAAACACAGGAAGTTCTGTCTGAATATGAGGGAAAACTTCTTTCCTGTGAGGGTGACAGAGCATTGGACCAGGTTGCCCAGAGAGGTTGTGAAGTCTCCTTCCCTGGAGATATTCAAAAGCCATCTGGACACAATCCTGGGCAACATGCTCTAGGCGAACCTGCGTGAGCAGGGAGGTTGGACTAGATGATCTCCAGAGGTCTCTTCTAACCTCAACTATTCTGTGATTCTATGTAATATCCAGAATTTTACTTCAGCAGTTCTGCCGGAAAATTTCTTGTTTCATTTTCTGTAAGCAAAGTAGTCAGTATTTGCCAGTTAAATCCCCAGGTAGTTTGCTTTCATACAGTAAAGTATAAATGTTGTAAATGAAACATCTGTTCAACACTATAATTTTATAATAACATTAATTGGCAGATGTCTTTAAATGACAAAACAAAGTATATCTCTTCTGATTTGTTCTTTTCCACTGAGCTGAACTTGTGGTCATTGAAAACTACTTACCTAAAAGACTATCTCAGCATGAGCAATATTTCACTGAGTTCTGTTATGTGAGCTTTTCTATGCAGAAAAGTATGACTTATAGAGGCAGCTCCCCACTGAAAATGTTAATGCAATGTCCAAAAACATTGTGAGGAGAAAGTTACCCTTGCCATTGGTAGGACTGGTTCTTCAATCTACATATAGTTTGCAGAGAAGTACTGTGCCAATTCAATTACTGTCTGATTAATGAAGTGTTTCAGGTTTCTTTCAGGGGTCTAGCTAGCTATTAATTAGCATATTGGGGCCTATACTCTACTGTTTTGCTCTGATATGCTTTGAAAAATCCCAATGCAATTAAATAAACTCTAATATGCTTTAAATAGTTACTTGAGAAAACACTTTCTGATTTTTTTTTTAATTCTTATGGGATTTTTAAGCACATCCAGATTTATTGTAAAGCATCTAAAGTTCTTTGTAAACACAACTGTTGTGTTGGTTTATGCAATTCAGCAGAATAGCACTCCCCTTGCTTTAACAGAAGACTTCCTGTGTTAACAGGAAGCTGGTGGTGTTTGCTTTGAATCCTTTAGAATAAATAAAAAGGATGCTGATGACCCCAAAATCAACTGAAGTTGCTCACTTTTCAGTGATCTCCCTAGTCCTTGTCAGATTTCTCTACTTCTACAGTCACATTTTTTCAAAGAAATCGGGTCAGTGCTAGTGGTGACAAATGTAAAAACGGGAAAATTCGTTGATGTGGCATTTGAGGTCAGGCAGTGAAGAATGGGGAACACTACGTTACTTAAATTAGAAATAGCTAAACTTTTTCTTATGTGGACGGTAGTGCAGAGCGCTAAATGGGCTGTATGTTCCACAGGTCAGAGGCATATTTCAGTGCCTGCTGATGACAGATAGTTTGGAGAGATGTTTTGTTGAAAGCATTAACTGTTTAGTGCTCTTGCATTCTGGGAAACAGAGGACTGTGAGATCAGTTAACAGAGCAATAGAAATATTAGTCAGAGACGTTCCTTGTTTCTAGACTTAAACAGCCCACTACCTTTAAATTCTTTCAATGGCATTCTGTGGGTCAGAAGTTGATTGCTCAGCCCCATATCCCAGGCCCTGCACAGTCAAGAGCTAGCTTTTTACTCTTACTTTCTCCGCTCTTCCTCCAGCACTACTTTGTCCAGACTTCAGATACCTCTCAATTTTTTGTCTGCCATTCTCCTTCATTCACTGCTGTAACACTTGTAAACCAGTTAGATCCCTTATCTCCTTTTTCCTACAAATATCAAATTAAAACACATTTTGCTCATGAAACCTTCTTTTGTTTGCTTATTCACCAGCGATGTCTGCATACTCCACTACTTTGCGTTCGCTCCTGCCTGAGTTAAATCGCGTACTCTTAAAATCTCCATTTTTCCTCTGGTGACGTCTGTGGGACTTTTGCCATCTTCTCAATGGCAACACATCCTGGCTGTTAAAGTCCAAACTGTTCTGTGTTCTGGGCATTTATAGCATTACCTACATGTAAATTAAACAAACTACTCCCATTTCCTCAGTCAGAGCAAAAATTATTAAATGTTATTTTGCTAAACAGGTTTGCATGAGGAGGCTCTATATTACACCTGCCATGATTCCCCACTGTAGTTTTTAAACATATTTTAAAGTATTATTTTGTGTGAAGCCATGCTTATCTCTTTTAAGGTACTATTTTGTATGGAGCAGATAGCTGGCAGATGCCTGTTTCCTTCAGCTTCTAGTTGACAAGAAGCTGCATTAAGTTTACACCAAACTGCTCATTAGTGCCCTCACACTGTCCCCCTGAGGTCTGCTGCAACAACAGTTTGTGGGGCCACGGTGAGGCAAACTGTTAGAAATAAGCTACTGAAAAGGAGGTGCCATTTAAGACCCTCAGCACTTCAGTATAGCTTAGCACTTTCTAAGAGGTAAATGAAGGGCAGGGTGAATCACAGCAGCCTCACACCTCCCTGGCTCATCTCCAAGGGATCAGTACGCTGTGACCCACGTCACAGAGCAGCACAGCAACCCCTCCAAAGGGTTCGTGCCACAGCACCTTCCAGAGAGAGTCTGCAACACTGCTCTTAGCACCTTTTTGTCCTGACTTACTTGTTTTAATTTTCACCCACAAAGTCTTTGTTCACGTACAGTCCTAAAATCCATCTCATAAACACCTTTCTGTATATTCTTATAATTGATGGAGGCCTTGATTCATCAGGCAACTCAAGTGCATAATGAACTTTAGGCACATGCAGACTGCTTTTGAATCAATGGGGTAATTCATGTGCTCAAATTTAGGCACATGTTTCATTACCTGGCTGAACCATGGCCCAAAGCCATTCACTTAATGTTAGGGCTGTTTTATTTTATAAATAGCATTATTAACATCCTGCCTTTTCTATTTGTATGCAAAATATAATGTACATATTTTGCATAGCTGAAGCTAACTATAAGGTCATAATGGTGCACTAAACAGGCAAAAAGTGTTAAATAACTTGGGTTTAGTGAGGGGTTCTGAGAGTGATTATTAAACGATTGATTGATTGGCAGATTGGTCTAACAGAGTAGCAGTGAGATGATTTGATAGCCCAGTTTCATTACAAATAGTGCTCTTACCCACCTTTAGCCTTGCCTTTAACACACTCAAACACACACCGTTTTTATGAGGTGGACTTTGAACTATCTTTCAGTAGTTATTCAGAAAGGCACAATGCATGTATTATGTGACTATTCATTGCAGCGAAGTTAGCACATAATAATTTACAATTTTATGGAACTGCTAGGATTAGCTATGTATCATCTATTTTTAATACACATCATTGTGGAATGTGAGCAATAATGAATGTATTTAAATAAATCAAAAAAGCCAAATGAATGCTGAGTTGTTGTCAATCACTTGCAGATGAGCCTACCCTGGTGAAAAGATATAATAGAGGTATTTCTGATGATGATTTATGGAGTCAACCAGCATCATTCTAGAACAACTGACACTTTTCCAGCACAGGGCTATACAGGTAGGTAGTGTTACTAAGTGGCAACTTTGGGGAGAAATATTTGTTGAAATTTTTTATCTGAATGTTCTGAGCTACGACAGAGAATGTAAGAACCCAGAAAAAAAGCAGAAAAATCCAGAGCAGAGTCAAAGGCAGGATATTCATGTCTATTTTGTAACTTACAGGTGCTGGAGAGCTTTGCATCTCCTGTGTACTAATGTGTTTATTTACTGAGAGGAGGGAAGTAGTTCTTTTTTTTTTTTCTTTTTTTCCAGAAAAAAAGTTTAAGCAACTTCATAGGAAAAAATACTACATGTTGATTTATTTTATTTCTCTGCAAACTTTTTTTACCTACTCTTAAATAGTTACTATCCTAAGGTATATCATAATCAGCTGTCTATCTTAGGGTACCATGACATGAAATAATTATTCTAATCAATGGGGCTTAAGAAACATAAAATATTACATGTATTATTGTGTAGTCCTGCAACACATCATTGTGGAATGTGAGCAATAATGAATGTATTTAAATAAATCAAAAAAGCCAAATGAATGCTGAGTTGTTGTCAATCACTTGCAGATGAGCCTACCCTGGTGAAAAGATATAATAGAGGTATTTCTGATGATGATTTATGGAGTCAACCAGCATCATTCTAGAACAACTGACACTTTTCCAGCACAGGGCTATACAGGTAGGTAGTGTTACTAAGTGGCAACTTTGGGGAGAAATATTTGTTGAAATTTTTTATCTGAATGTTCTGAGCTACGACAGAGAATGTAAGAACCCAGAAAAAAAGCAGAAAAATCCAGAGCAGAGTCAAAGGCAGGATATTCATGTCTATTTTGTAACTTACAGGTGCTGGAGAGCTTTGCATCTCCTGTGTACTAATGTGTTTATTTACTGAGAGGAGGGAAGTAGTTCTTTTTTTTTTTTTCTTTTTTTCCAGAAAAAAAGTTTAAGCAACTTCATAGGAAAAAATACTACATGTTGATTTATTTTATTTCTCTGCAAACTTTTTTTACCTACTCTTAAATAGTTACTATCCTAAGGTATATCATAATCAGCTGTCTATCTTAGGGTACCATGACATGAAATAATTATTCTAATCAATGGGGCTTAAGAAACATAAAATATTACATGTATTATTGTGTAGTCCTGCAAGGAAAACGTGTTTATTCTTGAGGGGATAGGAAGGTGTATGTGTATTTTCCGGGACTAACAGCAAAGAAAACTCTTTGGTATCCCAAGAGCCTAACTGCACACTTCCTACTCTATGTGTTCTGATCTCAAAGCTAAGTAGGATCAGACTGGGTCAGTTCTTGGATCAGAGCTCCAGGGAAAACTCAAGTGTATATATAGGAAACAATCTTGATGATCAAGCTTTATTGGGCATCATTTTAGTGAATTGTGTACCACAGTTGTGTTACAGGGCCAATCTTCTGTTAGAGGTGCTATCTTACAATCACGTGTAAAGGTTTTATGATCACTTAGGAAAAAGTGCCAGGGATATGTGTGTGTATATATGCATATACATACATATACATGTATACATATACATACATACACACAAACACACACATATATATAAAGTTAAGTGAGACTAAGACAAAATTCCACTTCCAAGAGCTTAAAATTGCCTTTTAGTTTCAACTGGAAAAGCATTCTTCATTCCAAAACTGCCATGTAATCATGATGACCACTCTCAGACTATGCTATATTTCACATCAGAAAAGACTGCATTTCAGTGGTGCTGTTTTTATCCTTTTGCACAGTTTGTTAAAGGCCCTGGTCCTGCAAACTGATGCAGTTAGTTAGGTGCACATTTGGTGCCAGTACACAAAACTGCACTGAAGTTAATAACATTCTGCACAGGCCTCTTCTCTTTCTCACATAGATCAGATTTCACTACTGAAACGTACATTTGTAAAGTACTTGGAGACAAAAAATCACTATTTCACTGACACTGCAGTGCTTCTGCTGAGTACTGATGGTCAGTGCAGGAAAGCCTGCGCATAAGGTACTGCTTCTGTTCTGAAACCATGCACTTGTGCTCTTTCTCTTCTGAGGAAGTACCTGGTACTATTTGCATAAATAGATTTGTGAGGCCAAAGAGAAAATGAGGGGAGGAGAAAGGACACCTCTGCTAGATAACCCACATCCTGAGAAGTTGCCTCTACTTTTTATTGGGAAAGTTGAAAACCTTGGGCAGGTACAGAAAAACCAAAGTGCTATTGAGCAAGGCTGTCCCATCCATTGGGATGAATGAGTTTGTTCCCTTCCTACAGCATGCCATCCCTTATGCATAGCATTACTACTCATTCTCTGAGAGCAAAAATCAAAATGAAGCAAAAATTAGTGTTAATAATGAAGGCGGGTTTTCATAGTTTCACTTTTATTGACTAGAGCATCAGAGTGCAACTGGAGACGTCGAAAGAAAAACTCTTCACCTGTCCTCTGCTTAATTAAAATACATGAGATACATAGATTTATTTGAGGGTTTGATGTTAAATGAAGATGAATGAAATGTTTTATGGAAGGCGATGAAACATGTTATTTACTCAAATAAGCAATTCTGTTCTATCAATACTTGGACTCATCTGGAAAAACATGCCCTATTCCTATTTGGTTATGAGTAGTATTTTACTGAGTCTGCCTATGTTACAACCTAATACTAATTCTGCCAGTTGCTGGGAACAAGCAAAACAAAAACTGAGCATTTATTTATGCAAGGCAGGCTATTCCTTGGCAGCCAGGAGGCATGCATCATGGCTTGCACTGATCTCCACTTTGGAATAGGAGCAAAACGTATTCTGGCCTTCCTCCAGGCAACGTGGACTGCAGGGGGACCTGCCTTGAGGAATTCTCAGCATCTCCAGCTCAAGCAATTCATGTGGGGGCAGCTTTAGAAATTTCTGCCTGTAGCTATCCGTCCTGGTGCTATGCTGGAAATTACAAGAGGCAGTGCTCCTCAGCCATTCATCGCCTGGCATAGGAAAGCAAGCTTTCACCAGTTTCCGTTGATGTTAAATCAGGATGTGCAAGAGTTGAGAACCTGCCAGCCTTTCTGCCATTCTACAGAGAGATGGAAGAGGTAATCTCTTACTACTCCTTTTTGTGAATCAGGGCCCTAACATGGTGAAAGATCGGCCTGGCTCTTTTCCACCCAGTGAAGGCTGATGAGGCCTGTCACATAGCTATCTCACATCCTTTTGCATGTTGGCAGGATTCTCACTGGCTTCTTATGGAAAGAAGTCTTCCCTACCCTAGACATTCATTACCCAAGTTAGATTTTATCCCATAGGATGGACTTATTATTTAATCTGTTCCAAGGTCTGGATTGAAGTGCAGGTGCTACAACCCAGACAGGCTGCTCACAGAAGTTCTGTAAAAGGGTGACATATTTTGGCACATAGTGTTCCTGTGAGACGCAATTCCTACTTAATCCTTAACAATTTCTTCTGCACTTTCCAGAGTAAATTTCAGTTCTACTCTTTATGATGATCAGCTTCTCTTCCAACAGCCAATACTGCTTCCTTTGAACTAATTACGGTCTGGTACCAGAAATTCTTACATGGAAGTTAGCAAATCATTGGTTGCGTTGACTGTGGCCGTTTGTGTAGATACATTAAAGGGTGAATACCATCCCCTTGCCACAGTGGCAGGGGCTATAAATAACATGTACAGAGGATGGAAAGGGTGAAATGAGCCTGTTCGTGGCAAATGCTGGAGAATCATTGTTTTGTAGGTTGTCCCATATCTCTTCTCCTGAGAGTTTTTATAAAGTCCCTCCAAAATTAACTCCAGCAGCTGGTTGGAGGGAGGTTGCGGTCCCCTAAGATCTATCAATGTACAACTTTCTCTGCCTCTGTGTCTTCAGCCAGCTCCTACAGTGAGACCCCAGGCTGATCTTACCAGTTTCTGAATCGGTTCTACCATTTTTCACCAAAATTCAGAATAGAATTGCTGTGAATCATGAACATTCATACAGGACTGATAATGATTTAAGGAAATGACCTTTCCTTATAAAGTGCTAAAAACAGGCCAAGAACACAGTGCACATTAGTGGCTAAGGGGGCTAAGGGGCATTTCCCTTCCACAGCACAAAGGGCCAAGCCCATAGTTAGTGAAAATTTCCTCTCTTGTCTCTGGTTGCGTTACCAGCTGACATGAATTCTGGATCATCCCACAAGTCTTTTTGACACTGTTAAGAGAGTGAGATTATCGTCTTGACATTTTTTCCTTAATTTTGCAAAAAGGAAATAATAATCTGTAGCTTGACGCTCTCTGCCAAGTTTTAGGCTGGAGAGAAATTTTTATAGCTGAGATATAAACCCCTGAAGTAAAAATGCAGACACAACTTTAAGTACAGTGTTGCAAATGCAGTGTTGTAATTTTATATGTTAATCTATCAATACACAGTATGTGCAAACATATGTTTATAGACAGAGAGACAAGCATGTATAAATGAGAGGATAAAAATCCCTATTTCTCATTTGGTGCTATGCAATTTCTATCAATTTAGAAATGTGTTATGATTTTATTTTAAGCTGACATACTGTAAATTGTGCTTATTTGAGAATACTTACTTAACTCTTGGGGTTTATAAGACAGAAAAGGAAGATGTCTTTGGAACTTCTCCAGCGACCTAAAATGAACTAATAATTAATAGAAAAATGTTGTCCCTCCTCTGGAAACTTTGGACCAGTTGCCACCTTTAAAACAACCCGTAAGCAAGAAGATGATTAGGAGTTACTAGAAAATCCACTAAACACATCAGAGGATGCTTCTTTAGGGGCAAGCAGTATATTGTGCTCATGTTACAAGAAAAATTACCAGATCTTTAGGTGAGGTATTTTAGAAATTTGGCAGATGGCTTTACTTTGTATTTGTGGCACAGAATCCTGTTCTAATTTTGTGTTTGATTGGAATATTCAGCAGCTTCTGGTGCTACTAGGACTTGCTATCTGAAAGACAGAGTTTGCAAACTATAAATATGAACTTTGAAAATATATATGCTAGAGTTAGTCCAGTAAATTGTGTTTGCAACGTTCACTTATTGGCTGACTAAATGGAAAAAAGGATGAGTTTTGGCCCCAGGCCAAGGAGGACGGCTGCCTGGCGGGGCAGTGCCTCCTGCTGCCTGGGAAGGCAGAGGGACGTGAGGGCAGCGGGTAAAGCTGGGGCCAGGCATTATGGCAGACCCAGCCCGGGGCCCAGGGCGGTGGCAGCCGTAGGAAGCTGCTCCTTGTCCTCTTCCAGCTGTTGTCCACCAGCTTGCAGCCGGGACGGGCTGCATGAGGAGTGCTGCTTCCCAGCCTTGCCTGCAGCCATGGCCTGTTTTTTGCATCCCCACAGCATGCAAGGAGGGCGTCCCCGCTAACAGCTAAAGCCCCCAGAGCAATTTGCTGCAACAGCGCTGTCTTACCTGCACAAGTCTTCAGCCTTAATTTGCAGCGCAGTGACTGACTTGTGGATGCAGGCATGCTCATACAGGCTCAGTAGCGTATAAAACTTTCTGTGGCATATCCCATGGTACAGCCTGCTTGCTCATACCGCTCCCACTGGGCTGAAGCCTCTGGGAAGATATATAGCTGAGGAATTCCCTGCTGCCCCGTGCAACCGGACGTGTGAGTTGCCAGCAGGCTTACTTAATACAACAGAAGAGAAAAAAACAGAACAGTTGTAACCAAA